TATTTATTTGAGACGGAGTCTCACCCTGTCACCCAGGCTGGAGTACAGTGACATGATCTCAGCTCACTGCAACCTCCACCTTCTGGGTTCAAGCAATTCTCCTGCCTTAGCCTTCCAAGTAGCTGGGATTACAGGCACATGCCACCATGCCTGGCTAAGTTGTATTTATTTTTTTTTCAGTAGAGACAGGGTTTCACTATGTTGGCCAGGCTGGTCTTGAATGCCTGACCTTGTGATCCATCCACCTTGGCCTCCCAAAGTACTGGGATTACAGGCGTGAGCCACCGCATCTGGCCCACACCTGCGTTTTTAGGTAACACCTTTATTGAAATATAATTTCACATATCACAAAACTCACCCATTTAAAGTATGTAGTTCCAAGGTTTCTAGGATGTTCACAAAGTTGTGCAACAATCACAGTCTCATTTCAGAATTTTCATCATCCCCCAAAGAAACCCTGTACCTATTAGTAGTCATTCTCAATTTCCAGCCCCCAATCACCACTAACCTATGATCTGTTTATAGATTTGCCTTTTTTGCACATTTCATATAAGTGGAGTCACAGAAACTGTGGTCCTCGGTGACTACCTTCCTTGACTTAGCATAATGTCTTCAAGTTCTCCATGTTGCAGCATGAGTCAGTACTTCATCTCCTCTTCTTGACAAATAATGTTCCAGTACATGAATGTACCACATTTAAAAAATTTATTCACCACTGGGCTAGGCATGGTGGCTCACACCTGTAATCCCAGCACTTTGGGAGGCCAAGGTGGGCAGATCACTTGGGCCCAGGAGTTCAAGACCAGCTTGGCCAATATGGTGAAACCCTGTCTCTACACAAAATACAAAAATTAGCCAGACATGGTGCTGCACACCTATAGTCCCAGATGCTCGGGAGGCTGAGGCAGGAGAATTACTTGATCCTGGGAGGCAGAGGCTGCAGGTAGCCAAGATCGTACCGTTGCGTTCTAGCCTAGGTGACAGGAGTGAAACCCTGTCTCAAATAAATAATAATAAATAAAAATAAAAGTTAATTCCCCACTTGATGGAAATATGTGTTTTTTCTATTCTGGCTATTACAAATAACAATGTCTTGAACATTAATGTACAAGTTTTTGCATAGACACATATTTTAATTTCTCTTGGGTGTATACCTAGGAGTGAAATTGCTGGGTTATATGGTAACTCTACATTTAACATTTTTAAAAACTGCCAAAAGTTATTATTATTATTATTATTTTTGAAATGGAGTCTTGCTGTGTTACCCAGGCTGGAGTGCAGTGGTGTGATCTTGGCTCACTGCAACCACTGCCTCCCTGGTTCAAGTGATTCTCCCTCCTCAGCCTCCCAGGTAGCTGGGATTACAGGGATGTGCCATCATGCCCGGCTAATTTTTGTACTTTTAGTAGAGACAGGGTTTCACCATGTTGGTCAGGCTGGTCTCGAACTCCTGATCTTGGGTGATCTGCCCGCCTTTGCCTCCCAAAGTGCTGGGATTACAGGCGTGAGCCACCACACCCAGCCTGCCAAAAGGTTTTCCAAAGCAACTGCTCCATTTTACATTCTCACCAGTAATGTGTAAGGGCTCCATTTCTTATAACTCACCAGCACTTGTTATCGTCTTTTTTCATTATAGCCATCCTGGTGGGGGTGAAGTGGTATTTGTGATTTTCATTTGCATTTCCCTACTGATGAATGATGTTCGGCATCTTTACGCGTGCTTATCAGCCATGTGTATATCTTCTTTGGAAAATGTATATGCAGATCCTCTACCCATATCTAAATTGGGCTATTTGTCTTTTTATTATTCCACTGTAAGAATTCTGTAGATATGCTAGATGTTAGTCCTTTATCATATTGCTATAGTTTGGATGTTTGTCCCCTCCAAAACTCAAGTGCGAATGTCATCCCCAGTGTGGGAGGAGGGACCTAGTGGGAGATGTTTGCGTCATGGTCGTGGATCCCTCATGAATGGCTTGGTGCCTTTCTCATGGTAATGAGTGAATTTTCACTCTATGAGTTCATGTGTGATCTGGTTAAAAAGAATTGGGGATCTCCCCACTCTCTCTCTTGCTCCTTTTCTCACCGTGTGACATACCTGCTCCCCCATCACCTTCTACCATGAATAAAAGCTTCCTAAGGTTCTGACCAGAAGCAGTTGCTAGCACCATGCTTGCACAGCCTGCAGAACCGTGAGCCAAAATAAACCTCTTTTCTTTATAAATCACCCAGCCTCAGGTATTCCTTTATACCAATGCAAAATGGACTAATACACATATAAATGATTTGCAAAAAATTTCTGTGGGTTTTCTCTTCATTTTCCTGATAGTATCCTTTGAAGCACAGTTTTTTTTTAAATTTATCTATTTTTTTGTTTTGTTGCTTGTGCTTTTGGTGGCATATCTAAGAAGATACTGTCTCACCCAAGGTTACAAGATTTATGCCTATGTTTTTACTAGATTTTTAGTTTTAGCTCTTGTTAGGTCTTTGGTCCATTTTGAGTTAATTTTTGTGTAAGTGTGAGAGAGGCATCTAAATTAATTCTTTTGCACTTGGCTAACCAGTTGTCTCAGTACCATCTATTGAAAAGGCTATTCCTTTTTTTATTTTATTGTCTGAGCACTCCTGTTGGAAACCAATTGGCCATAAATGTGAGGGCTTATTTCTGAACTCTCAATTCTATCCCACTGATTTATATATCTGTCCTTATGCTGTTACCATGCTATCTTGATTACTGTGGCTTTGTAGTACATTTTAAGATCAAGAAGTGTGATTCCTCAGACTTTGCTCTTCCTTTTGAAGACTGTTTTGGCCACTCTAAGTGTCTTACATTTTCATGTGAATTTTAGCTTCAGATTGGCTATTTCTACCAAGAAGCCAGCTGGAATTCTGATGAAGATTGCAATAAAGTTGTAGATCAACATGCAGAGTATATCTTAACAGTATTAAGTCCTCTGATATATGAACATGGGATGCATTTACATTTATTTAGGTGTTCTTTCATTTCTTTCAAAAATATTTCTAGAGTATATGGTTTGAACCTCTTTTGTTAAATTTATCCCTAATAATTTTATTCCTTTATATGCTCTTTTCAATACAATCATTTCCTAATTTCATTTTCAGGTTGTTCTTTGCTAGTCTATAAAAACACAATTGTTTTATATCTTGATCTCATAGTCTGTAATTTTCCTGAACTCACGTATTAGTTCTAATAGTTTTCTGGTGGAGACTTTGGGATTTTCTATGTGAAAGATTATGCCATTTGCAAATATAGTTTAACTTCTTTTCCAACACGGATGCTTTCTTTTTCTTGCCTAACTGTCCCAGCTAGAGCCCCAATAAAATGTTGGAAAAAACTGATGAAAGCAGAATGTTGAAGAGACACGATGAAAACAGACATCCCTGTCTTGTTCCTGATCTCAGAGGGAAAGCTTTTAGTCTTTTCTCATTGATGTTATTTGTGGATTTTTGTAGATAATGTTTATCAGGTTGAGGAAGTTTCCTTCTGTTCCCAGTTTGTTGCATGTATTTATCATGAAGGGGAGTTAAATTTTGTCAAATGACTTTTCCGATTCTATTTAGTCATATGATTTTGTCCTTTGTCCTGATATATATTAATGCAACCTTTAATTCCTGGGATACAATCCAATTGGCTATAGTTTATAATTCTTTAACATGTTGCTGGATTCAGTTTGCTTGTATTCTGTTGAGAGTTTTTGTGTCTATAGTCATAAAAAGTATTGGTTTCTTGTTTTCTTGTGATATCTAAGTCTGGTTTCGGTATCAGGGTAATATTGACCTCAGAGAATGGGTTGGGATGTGATATGGTTTGGCTGTGTCCCCACCCAAATCTCATCTTGAACTGTAGCTTACATAATTCCCTCATGTTGTGGGAGGGACCCAGTGGGAGATAACTGAATCATGGGGGCAGTTTCCCTGACACTGTTCTCATGGTAGCAAATAAGTCTAATGCGATCTGATGGTTTTATAAGGGGAAACCCCTTTTGCCTGGCTCTCATTCTCTTCTCTGCGACCATATGAGATGTGCCTTTTGTCTTCCGAGGTGATTGTGAAGCCGCCTCAGCCACATGAAACTGTGAGTCCATTAAGCCTCTTTCTTTTGTAAATTGCCCAGTCTCAGGTGTGTCTTTATCAGCAGCATGAAAACGGACGAATACAGGATGTATTCCATCCTCTTCTGTTTTTTTGGAAGAGTTTGTGGAGTGCTGGTATTCTTTTTTAAATGTTTGGTAGAATTTAACAGTGAAGTTAAGTAGGCTGTGTCTTTGTAGGAAAATTTTAAATTACTAATTCAATCTCTCACTTCTTAAGGTTTGATCTGAATTTTCTATTTCATCTTGAGTTAATTTACCTAGTTTGTTTCGCTAGGAATGTGTATATTCCATTAGGTCCTCTAATTTGTTGGCATACAATTGATATATGATCTTTTTGGTTTCTGTAAGGTTTGTAATAATGTTCCTTCTTTCAATCTTGATTTTAGTAATTTGATTCCTCTTTTGCTTGGTCAGGCTAGGAAAAGGTGTATCAATTTTGTTGATCTTTTCCAAAAAACTTTTCATTAGTTGATTTTCTCTATTGTTTTCCTATTTTCTCTTTCATTTGTTTCTACTCTTCTTTATTTCTTCATCGTGCTTTGAGTTTAGTTTGCTATTCTTTGTACTGTTTCTTAAGGTGAAAGATTAGGTTAGGTTTCAGATTTTTTTTTCTTTTTAAAAGTTGACACTGACAGCTATAAACTTCTGAGCATTGCTTTCAGTACATCCCAGTAAGATTTGGTATGTTGTACTTTCATTTTCATTCACCTGAAAGTATTTTCTAATGATAAGGCTTGGCTGTGTCCCCACCCAAATCTCATCTTGAATTCCCACATGTTGTGCGAGGGAACCAGTTGGAGTCAATTGAATCATGGGGGCAAGTCTTTCCCATGTTGTTCTCGCGATAGTGAATAAGTGTCATGAGATCTGATGGGTTTTTTTTCCTTTTCCCAAATGGCTGTTGAACTTATTTGCTTGATCAATAATGGTCCTGGCAAAAACGAGTTAACCAATGCTGAGACATTTGTAATGAAATACTAATTTTAAAAATCCATGACACCTTGATAGAAATTAGAGTTTACACAAACAAAAAAGGAAGCTTCGGTAATACCAGCAGCTATAAAGTGAATGTACTGAGATCGACAGGACAGCAAGAAGGCATTTGCACATTGATATGTGACACCTGACCATACTTTCAGTCACCAGAATATCTTCTCTCCAGATTTAAAAAACAGTATGCCGATTTCTATAAGAAAGCTTTCTTTTTCCGTACAAAAATCAAATAATGGCCAATGACTCACAACAGTGCAATAGGTAGAGGATTAAAAACTGCATCAAACAGGTGCTGAAAATAAATACTACCTAGGAGCAGGAGGAGAGTGCCCTCGGGTGGGGTTTGTTTTCGTTTCCTTGAGTGTGTGTGGGGTTTGTCTTCCGAGCCACGAGCCTGGCCTGTCTCACGGTGCTATTCACTCTGACAGAGTGCACCTGCAGCACGTTGCCTCCAGAGCCCGGCCTCCCAGAAGCTTCAGAGCATCAGAGCATCAGTCTCATTGGATGGACCAGAAACAAGAAAATGGGGCGGGGTGAATCACAGCTATGATTCAAAGGAAAGGAATTTTTTTTTATTATTGCTCAGTCTTGTCAATTGGGAACCCACCAGTAGGTTCACTGAGATGATATGGGTAATTTCAAACTTTTGTTTCAGAGCACATATATGGCTTATTCAGGCAAGAAGACGTGTACATTCTAGCCCAAGCAAGCAATCGGAGTCATTCTGTTTTTAAGGAAGGTCAGTCGTTTAAAAGATTTCTGGTTTGAGCAACATCCTCTGTGGATGCACCAGGCCAAGGTGACTACCTTCGACCAACCCAGTGGGAAGGCCTTTTCTGGTCCCCCCAGTGAGGAACCAGTGGGAATGGGCGGCCTCTCGGCTGGCCTGCGCTGCCTGGGGTAGGTGGGCGGACTCCACAGGCAGCCCGTCTGTGGCCAGATAGGCCATCCTGGTGACTCGGGCTTATGGACTGTGGTTTAGAACTGAACTGCAGAAGGAGAGAGTTAGGAGGGCGGGCCAGGGAACACCCACCAGGTGCCGCTCTGACCAGTCAGAGAACCTGAGGCAGCTCCCCCATAGGGATCTGCACCAAGAAGGTGTTGAAGGCACAAGCAAGAGTGAAGGTACCAGAGATCACGGAGGGCGCAGCATTGACCTGGTGTGGTTCCCCTTTGAATGAAAAGGAGATCCTGATTCTGCTGCGATAAAAAAAGCAAAGAAAGACGATTTTTGGTTTAAAAAGAAGCCGCTCAAGGGTTAAAATTGTTATTTCAAGTTAAGGAAGAAAATTAATACGCTGACACTATCTGGAAAACTCATCTGTCCCTAAAGCCCACAATGCATCCACTGCTTTGTCCTCCCATGGAACTTAAGCCTGATGCGAAGGAGTCAGACGTGTGACAGAGGAAGAGTGTGAGAAGAGAAGACACCTTTACAGAATGTACAGCGAGAGAGCCGGCCTGGCCCCCGGGTTACAATAAGATGCACGGGTCCTTTCAGTCTCGCGGACTCTAGACGGTGGCGCAGGCTGCTCAGACGGACGTCTCCTTACTGTCCCTGCTGGGCAATGGCTTCACAGGCTCCTTGCCTGCCTTTGGCTACTCTTTAGCTGCTATCGGCTCGAGGACGCCGTCTCTGGGCGGCTCGACAGCACCTGTGCGCCACTCGGGCTCCTCGTCCTCCTGCGCCTGCTGCTCGGCCGTGGCTGGCTGCATCTGGAGCAGCTGGAACTGCTCGATGATGGCCTCACGCTCCTTGTGAATTGCTTGATTCAAATGATCGTTCTTTATTTCCACCTCTTCGTTCTGTCTCTGTAAATCTTCCAGAGTGATCTGCGGCTCCTCCTCATCCTCACTGTCGCTCTTGGAGGAGTACTCCTCAGTCTTGCTTAAGCCCTGCTGCTGGCGACTCTGAATTTCTGCAATCTCTTCTTTTTCTGAGGCAATCTGCTGGCACAGAAACTGCTCCATGGCCAGGACCTCCTCCTGTTCAGTCAGGATCTCTTTCTCCTGAACAAGGAGAATATTTATAACTTCTTCATTTTCATTCATTTCTTTTTTGGAAACAGCCTCTTTTGAAAGACGGGCTATCTCTTGTGCAATCTTGGTTTCACACTCCTGTCTTTCAGCTTCTCTCAGTTGTCTTTTGAGAGCTGTCAAAATTCTTTGTACTTCCCATAATCTTTCTTCTTTAGACAAATCCTTTATCCCACCCTGCAGATCTTGATGTAAACAATTCAAAAGCAACTCCTGTCTCCTGATCTCCTCCTCGTTGCCTGTCTGGGTCTCTGGCAGTGTGGGCATCATGGCCATGTTAGACCATTGCCAAGGTTTTGTCACTTGTTTAGTACCACATTTCCAAAGAGTTCTTGCACATGTGTGAAAAACACATACAGGACTAGATTGCTGATCTGCACAGTTCGGCTGAGCACTACAGAAATGTTCTGCATATTCATTTTTGTTTCCAGTTCCTTTGCGATGAGATGGCCCTTGTGCACAATGAGCCAAGAAATCAGAAGACAGTTACCTTCTGGCAGTTCTTTGAGTAAACGCTGGAATTCCTGCACTTTCTCAGTCTCCGTGGTCCTCCCACAAGCCTCTTCAAATCTGGGCATAAGCTCTTTGGTAAGCAAATTCTCTGGAAGGTCTCGCAAATACTGCCTCTGCAAACTGGCTACAGTGTGAGGCTCATATTCTTCCCAGTTTGTAGACTCCTCCTGGTCATAGGCTGCTTTTAGCTCATCCACCTTTGATTTAATTCCTGATACCCTATAGATGCCTTCGCACTTCATGCCATACTTCTCTACGTAATTCATGGAAAATGGCCAGCAGCCAAATGCCATCATGTACCATGGTCCTCTCTACTGCATCAGCCAAAGGAATTCCAAAAATGGGCTTGAGATTTGGAACATCAATCTGAGGCACCTCTGGCTCCTAAATTGGCTTTTTCTTTTTCTTCTTTTCTTTCCACTGTTTTTTTTTTTTTTTTTTTTTTTTTTTTTTTTTTTTTTTTTTTTTTTTTTGAGACGGAGTCTCACTCTGTCACCCAGGCTGGAGTGCAGTGGCCGGATCTCAGCTCACTGCAAGCTCCGCCTCCCGGGTTCACGCCATTCTCCTGCCTCAGCCTCCCGAGTAGCTGGGACTACAGGTGCCCGCCACCTCGCCCGGCTAGTTTTTTGTATTTTTTAGTAGAGACGGGGTTTCACCGTGTTAGCCAGGATGGTCTCGATCTCCTGACCTCGTGATCCGCCCGTCTCGGCCTCCCAAAGTGCTGGGATTACAGGCTTGAGCCACCGCGCCCGGCCTTCTTTCCACTGTTTTAACAACATCAGTTGCTGTCAAGTTTTTGACTTTTTTTTTTTTTTTTACTTCTTCTCTTTATGTTTTTCTTCTTTGTGCTTTTCTTCTTTATGCTTTTCTTCTTTGGGTCTCTCTTTTATTTTAAAATCCTTCTCCTTCTTTTTAGAAAAGCTGGGATTCTTGAACACATGGATTCCCTTGGGCCTCTTCATTTTAGAAGGACTTTCTGCCTCATCTCCAGAGCTATCTTCATGAAAGGCTGCACAGCCTTCACTCCTCTTTTCCTTTTCCTTTTTCCTTTTTCTTAAAATCTCCTTTTTTCTTCCCATGGTCTTTCTCTTCATCGGACACTGTATCAGGAGGCTTGTGGAGGATGTCATGGGGAGGCGAGGGCTCGCCAGTGCAGTACGATCCAGGAAACTTAGTAAGGCTGATCTCTTCAGAGCTGGGGGTCTGGGTAAGCCCACTGCCATGCTCCAACCCGTGGTGTTCACTGGGGTTGCTGGTGGGGGGCAGGAAGCACTTGGTCATGCGATGTCCTGACTAGGAAGGGACGAGGTCTTCTCTGTTACCTATCCATTATGCCTGTGCCCGGCCACAGCCACCACCTCCTCATGCTCATGCTGCCACCACAGCCACTGGAGCCACCTTCTGCCTATCTCATGGTTTTACAAAGAGGAGTTCCCCTGCATAATTTTCTCTTTGCCTGCTGCCATCCATTGATGACGTGACTTGCTCCTCCTTGCCTTCCACCTTGATTGTGAGGCCTCCCCAGCCATGTGGAACTGTAAGTCCATTAAACCTCTTTCTTTTGTTAAACTGCCCAGTCTCAGGTATGTCTCTATCGGCAGCATGAAAACGAACTAATACATCTAATTTTACTTGTGATTTATTTGACCCATTGGTTATTTAAGTGTGTTATTTGATTTCCACATTATTTGTAAATTTCCTAGATTTCTTGCTGTTGTTAATTTATTAACAAGTTTAATTCCATTGTGGTTAAAGAACATACTTTGTATGATTTTAATTTTTAAGAATGTACTGGGGCTTATTTTACAGATTAGCCTATAGCATAAATATCAGGATAAATGTTCTATGTGTCCTTGAGAAGAATGTATATCCTACTGTTACTGGGTGGAGTGTTCTATAGATGTTTATTAGATCTGATTTTTACGGATGAGAAAAGTGAGATCCAGATGGGAGTAATGGACTAATTCAATGTCACATATCAAGCTGGTCAGGGGTCACATGAATTACTGTGGTGAATCATGTGAAACTGCCACTTGAGTATCAAAAACTGTTAAAAACCAACAAATTCTTATAGTTCAACATCAAAGAATCTACGCCTCCTGACTTTGAGTCCAGTGTTTTCATCACTGAACTGGTATCCTGTATTAGGGCAGGCTGTGCTGTGTAAATCATATGTCCTGAACTATCCTTGGCTTAAAACAATAGGTATCAACTACTTGCTCATCACATTCCATGAGGATAATGCAACTTTCCTCCAAATGGTGATGCAGGGATCACACCTGCTTTCATCTTGTGTGTCCGCCTTCTAGAACACGTGGCACACATCAGGGGAAGAAAACTTCAGGATCACAGGCATGTCCTTAAGCGTGAGCCCTAGGGGTGGCTTAGATCACATCCACGCACATCTCATTAGCCAGAACCCAGTCATGGGGCCCAAACCAACTCTGTGGGGTCACGTCACTTACAGCATAATTTTATATCCTTAGCCAATTCCATTGGAAATGCAGTCTGACTTGACAGTGGGAGGTGTCTGTGATCTCACCTCAAGAATTCAGCACTTTAAAAAATTTTCCCATTTTGGTAAGTTTTAAAATATATTTTCAGGAATTCAAAATGCAGGCCTTAGCAGGGCATGGTGGCTCACTCCTGTAATCTAAGCCCTTGGGAGGCCGAGGCAGGAGGATGGCTGGAGGCCAGGAGTTCAAGGTCAGCCTGGGCAGCATAGCAAAACATCACCTCTAGTGAAAATAAAAATTAAATGTAGATATTGAAAATGTCTCTTGGGCTTAAAATATGAAATAATTTCTCTTGTTGATTTTTTCCAAATGTGCAGCCCTATTATGTTTTAGATAATTTAGAAGTTCTTAACAAGGCAAAACTGCTCCCCATTAAGACTGTAATAAACACACCAAAGGTTTCCAAGGGCTAGAGTACAGAATCGAACTTGTTTCATTCAGCCATCTCCTACTTAAAAACAAAAAGTCTTTGAACTGCATTGCCATCTATAAATAGGAAGGGGAAATCAGCTTGTGTGGGTTTGTAATCCCTGCCTCCAACTCTTCGTCTACTGAAAAGGGCCCTCTGGCTGAACATTTCTCAGTTATGGTATAACACAGAGATGCCTGGCTGTGGACACTACAGTTCTCCTGCAACTTTACCCTGGACAGAGTCTCATTTCAACTCTGGTAAGCTTCTCATATACCCACCAAGGGAGCCAAATGGAACTTTTCAGAGAAAGGAACCGAGATATGTATTCTCCGCAATTTTCGATTACATTTACTGCCAAGAGTGGCCAAGAAGTCATTTCCAAACCCATTTCTTAAAGGAACCCCAAGAAAGCCTGAGTGACTGGTAGCCACTCTGTATACTGAGAGGAGAGTTCAGGACTAAGAGAGCCAGGATTCTAGGAATTGTCCCCTCCTCTAGCTGACACGGAAACTGCAGGAGCTTCTCTGTGGCACAGCTAGGAGCTGGGGAAGAGGCCGGAGGGAAAACAATGTCAGATTCTAGCACCCAGCACTATAGGACCCTGAGTTCATACATGTTGAACCCAAAATGAAGAATAGGGGAGAAATTTATCAAATTGTCATAGAATGCTGAGGGGAACTGGCAAATCCCTACCTTTGTAGGAGATGGTTCTCCACATGACCCAATCCCTGTAAGAGATATTTTGGTTTTTCTAGATGCATCTGTTCTATTATTCCACTTTCAGGAAGGGCCTTGGTTTGGTTCAAAACAGAAATACTCAGTTCGTAGTAGGTGGGATAGGAGTAGGGGGTTCTTAAAGAACCTAGTATATTTTCCTTTTATTATTAAGAATTTGGGTTTCTTTGAGAACAGAAGTTCTCAATCATTTTGGCCTGAGACCCCATTTACACTCTTAAAAATTATCAAGGAACCCAAAGAGCTTTTGTTAATCTGGGCTACATCCATCTATACTTATAACATGAGAATTAAAACTGCAAAATTAAAAACCTTTATTAATCCATTTTAGAAAATGAATATTCCCATTATATGTTACTTTAGATAGCATACTTTAAGGAAAAATAGCTATATTTTTCAAAACAAAAATATGGCATTGTTTACCTTTTTGCAAATCTCTTTAATGTCTGGCTTAATAGAAGACAGCTAGAATCATACACTTCTCTCTGCACTCAATCTGTTGCAATATTTTGGTCAAAGAATATGAAGAAACTCCTTCCTCACACAGATAAGTAGAAAAAGGAAGAAATATTTTCATCTTTTAAGATAATTTGGGGGTATTTTGAGTTTCTACACCCAAACTCAACAAGTGGTATGTTTAAAGGTTAGTACAATGTGGAATCCAAAACCCTATCAGTGAATATTTTATATTCGGTGACACTAAAATTCATCAGTTTGGCATGTTTTCCAACACCAACAACCCTTTCTCTGATTCTCTACACACCAGTTGGCTGTCCTACAATTCAGTTTAATCCTGACACTAACTACCTGGAGTTACAGTCAGACCTCACAGGTTCAGGGCTCAGTCTCACAAGACTTCCCTCACTTCAGATGAAAGTTGCAAGAAGTGGGTCCCCAGATTACCCCACTTCTTTCCAGCCTGGCTATAAATCGGGGGTTCCATGACTCCCTCCCTCTTGTTTGGTAATTTGATAGAACAGCTCACAGAATTTGGGAAGGCAGTTTATGTCCTACTATGTTCAGTTTATGTCCTGTTATAAAGGATACAATTCAGGTACAGTCAGATGGCAGAGATGCATGGGGCAAAGTAAGTAGAAAGGGTGCAGAGCTTCCATGCTCTCACTGGGCACACCATTCTCCCAGCACCTGAATGTGTTCGCCAATCTGGAAACTCCCTGAATTCTGTGGTCTAGGGGTTTCCGTGGAGGCTGTATCACGCAGACATGATCCATTATTGACTTCATCTCCAGCCCCTCTCGTTTCTCCAGAGGACCGGGTATAGGGCTGAAAATTGCAGGCTTCTATACAAGGCCTGGTTTTTCCAATGACCAGTCCCCATCTGAAAATATTTAGGGGCCCAGCAAGAGTTGCTTCATTAGAACAAAAGACATTCCTATCACTCAGGAAACTCCCAAGGGATTTAGGTGCTTTATGTCAGTGTATTAGTCTGTTCTCACACTGCTATGAAAAAATGCCCAAGACTGGGTAATTCATAAAGAAAAAAGGTTTAATTGACTCACAGTGCTGCATGGCTGGGGAGGCCTCAGGAAACTTACAATCTTGTGGAAGGCAACTCCTCACAGGGCGGCAGGAGAGAGAATGAGTGCTGAGCCAAGGGGGAAGCCCTTTATAAAACCATCAGATCTTATGAGAACTCACTCACTATCAGGAGAACAGCAGCACGGAGGTAACTGCCCCTAGGATCCAATTACTTCCCACGGGGTCCCTCCCATGACACGTGGGGATGATGGGAACTACAGTTGAGATTTAGGTGGGGACACAGCCAAACTATATCAGTCAGGAACCAGGATCAAAGGCCAAATATGTATTTCTTATTACACTACAATTGGCTGATCACTATACAATATTCTTTTACAACTAGTTGTTAGTACTACTTCTGATCTCATCAGAAAAATCTTTAAATATTGGGAAGCTGTCAAACTTACAGTGATGGATCTGGGTTTTGCAAAATCTGAAAGCTCACTTGAAAGCTTGAATGTTATCACTGGCAATGTTTTTCTTGAAGTGACAAGCTCATGTCATTCATTTTGGAGGAAATGTCTGCCAAATGCCCAAATCTGACTCACTGCAGTTTGTCTGTCAGTTCTGCTTTCAAGTAAAAATGGTGGTCCATAAAAAAGAGCTGTAGCTTGTGCATTGCAGGCCATTGCACAAGGGCATGGCCTTCAGCAACCATCATCCTTGGAATGCAGCAGAAGTGTTTCTGTGCATTTCCCACCCTGTCCCGAGGGGCATGACTGCTTCACGGGGGACATTCTTCACTGACACTTTGTGTTTGCTTTTATTGCAACAGCACGGTGCTGAAGGATGCAGTTACTACTGATTTGGTGTTGTTCCGCTGCTGGGATTTGTGCTTACTTTTGAACAATCAGAGCAAATGTCTACATTGTAAAGAGGACAAATAATGTCCCAATACAACCATGAAAACAGTTTTGTCACTGCAGATCCTCCAAAAGGATGTTGGAGACGCCTAAAGATCCACTTTTTGGAGATCACTCTTTGAGAACTGCTATTTTAGAAACAATCCTCCTGCTATAAAGACTAAATATTTGGCTCACACGTGTAATCCCAGCACTTTGGGAGGCCAAGGTGGGCAGATCACTTGAGGTCAGGAGTTTGAGACCAGCTTGGCTGACACGGTGAAACCCCGTCTCTACTAAAAATACAAAAATTAGCCGGGCGCGGTGGCATGCACCTGTAATTCCAGCTGCTTGAGAGACTGAGACAGGAGAATCACTTGAACCCAGGAGGCAGAGGTTGCAGAGAGCTAGGATGGCATCATTGCACTCCAACCTGGGAGACAGAGTGAGATTCTGTCTCAAAAAAAAAAAAAAAAGACTAAATACTAATATTTTCCTAGAAGTTCATTTATAGGAAAAAAAGAGGAACTAGAATAATTTGGAAAAACTCCCCCAAAAAACCCTCAGTTACCTTAGTTGTCAATGTGTAAGCTTCTAGAACAGACTCCATCTTTTAAAGTTTTGAACAGTATCTTAGGAATGCAGTAACAATGGTGACAATAGTGTGTGTTTGTTGCAATGTTTACTACTGGGGGACAACTGTGCTTTGTACTTTAAATGCATCCTCTCCAATATTCTTTAGTACCACACTTTTTTTTTGTTGTTGTTGTCTTTTTTTGGAGTTTTGCTCTTGTTGCCCAGGCTGGAATGCAGCAGTGAGATCTCAACTCACTGCAACCTCCACTTCCCGGGTTCAAGCGATTCTCCTGCCTCAGTCTCCTGAGTAGCTGGGATCACAGGCACGTGCCACCATGCCTGGCTAATTTTTTTTGTAGTTTTAGTAGAGACAGGGTTTCTCCATGTTGGTCAGGCTGGTCTCGAACTCCCGACCTCAGGTGATCCACCTACCTCCGCCTCTCAAAATGCTGGGATTACAGGCATGGGCCACCACGCCCAGCCTAGTACCACACCCTTTATAGATGAGAAGACTGGGACATAGAGAGATGAGAGTGTGACAAGGTCACAGCCATATGTGGTGATTAAGGCTCTGAATCCATGTGGTCTGATTCTCAGAGCCTCGATCCCTAAATCCTGCATAATATGCTGCATCACATCTAAGCTTCACATTTACTTACTTCTTTTCTGCCATGCATGTGCATTGGTTCAAATCCTCAAAGGGAAACCTAATGTCTCATCTCAACCACAGGGCCCAAAAAAAGGGCTCAGTAAACATCTTCGCCATGAGGGACAGAACATTTAAACCACGATTAGTAATGGTGCTAGAAGTGAAATACTCAAACAGCCAGCTCTTCAATATTATTAACTCATTAAGGAGGGAACCAACAGAAAATAAAAAAAAGGCTTGTTCCTTAAAAACTTTGATGAAAATTGTGTGTGTGTGTGTGTGGTGTGTCTGTATACATACACGTATCTATTTTACTTGTTTGCTAAATAGACACAGATATACTCGGGTAGTTAACAAACATGTAGGTTGTATAAAAATAAAACTAGTTTACCTTCTTTTGGGCAATAGAATCCCAATACCTTTGAGATTGACTCAGGCCTTACCCATTTCTGCAGGTTAAGAAGTTACAAGTCTTCAGGTCTGTAAACTGTTGAGGCCGTTATCATTGTCCTTCGTTAGTCCACTATACCTGGACAACAGTGACATCTCTAAGACAGGCAGCCAAGGGGGTTCTTTAACGAACAGAACGTCCCCCTTTATTAAGCAGGCTTATTAGAAAATGCTAGAAGTTACCCTTAACGCAAGCAAGTGGCCTTTTTCCAAGTCCGGGGATTTAAGAAATTTACTTACCTATTTTTTGCATTTTTCCAAGGTGGTTTTTTTTTTTTTCGTGTGCGTGTGGGTTTGTTGTTGTCGTTGTTGTTGTTTTGGTTTGGGTTTTTGCCTTCTTCCAAGTTTGGGATTTCTTTTTTTTTTTTTTTTGATCTCATAAAGCAAACCTGTTTTCTGGATGGAGGCCCAGCGGAACTTGTTCCGGCCGCACGTCTCGGTCAGAAGGAACGCTTCTGCAGCGGCAGGAAGGGAGGCTCGGGATCCGGGCCTGGGGTTCCGCCGCCGCGCCCCTCCCCACTCCCCGCGGCCCGCTGGAACGCGTACGGCCGGGGACGGTGGCGGGTACGCGCGCGAGGCAAGCGGCGCGCACGGCCGGGTAGGCGCGCGGGGGCCGCGTGGGGCGGCGGCGTCCTGGCCCCCAGAGCCGGTCTCGCGCGCTGGGAGTCTTCCTTCCGCCGCCGCCGCCGCCACATCCCGGGACCCTACGGGCCGCGGCGCGGAGGCCGCCAGTGGCGGCGCAGAGGCCTCGGGGCAGGGTGGGGCGGGTCTCCCGCGCTCCTGGGACCCCGCGCGCTTCGCCCACAGGCCCGGCGAGGCCCGACCCGCGCTGCGCCCCCAGGGCCGGGGGAGGAGCCTAAGGACCCGGACGAGCGCCGCTCCAGTAGGGTGAGCCCGGGGACGCGCAGGCGGGTGGGTTTCAGCGCCCGGGCCCCTGGCCCCGCCGCGGGGCGCACGGAAAAACCGGAGAACCTGCGGGTTTTGTCCTGGCGAGCCACATCCTGGTGTGTTTTGGCGACTTGAAGACCTCCCTAGTTCGCGGGAGTAGCGGGAAGAGCCTTCCTTGCGTTAATTATGCAATAAGAAGGCGTCCTTGTACGGGATACTGTGACCCGCGGAATTATTGATACTTGTGCGAGCCTACGATTTACTTCTTTCATCCTTGGCTGAGAATTTGCGTTTGTAATTGTCGATGGAGAGAGGAAGAAAGGGTTCCGCTCGGGTCCAAGGAGCATGCTGAGGAGGGCAGGGAAGAAGGAGCATGTGCAGCCTCAGTGCGAGGGGAGGCAGGGGTGGGGATGCACGTTCCCTGCCTGACGGGCCTCGGGGTGCCCAGAGCCTCTGATCTTCGCTGTCAGGAGGCCTGTCCCAAGTTGGAGGTTGAGGCATGCAGTTCTGCACTTCTGGCTGGGAAGGTGAACCAGGTTTTCCAAAAACTGTCATTTTTGCTTTCCAAGTCTGCAAGGCAGGAAAGGGTTGGGCAGTGAATGGAAAGCAGTGCGGCCAGGTTCTGGTTAGCTCAGCGGCAGGACTGTCATAAAGGTTTGTTTCGTTTTGTTTTTTTTTTGGTCTGAAAACCGGAGTCTGGGACTTTGGGCCATGAGGAGTTGGGTTATTGCATTGCTTGGAGTGCCAGAGTGAGACATGTCTCAGACGCTGTTAAAATTAGGCAGCTCAGTTTAGCTCTGGCTCTCTGATCACCAACCACCTCCTCCTTCACTCTTTTCAGTGACTGGGTTAAAAAGAAAAGACACAAAAGGAGAAGTGGTCTTTCCCCTTCCCTCCCCGTTATAATTAGAGCTTATTCCATCTTGGCTCAGAATTGGAATTCAGAATTCAGAATTGCTCTTGACCCTGAAGAATAGAATCTCAAAGAAATACCTGAGCGGAAAATTCTTTCCTTCGCTGAAATGAAAATTGGGGTGTTTGCGAAACTGAACAAAGAAAGGAAAGAATTTGTAAACATCACAGGCAACTTGCAGTTATATTCGGATCATTTTTCAGTGTTTGAGGAGTTCATACAATAAAAAGGTGGGAGAGAGCCAGGAATGGAAACAGGGGAGAGAGGTGATTGCAGGACCTTAGAGACTGCAGAAACCCAGGAGTTCATTTTCTTTTCATACACGTCTGGATAACGTGGATGTGAGGACCATCAAATGCCGTACATGTTGTTTCTGACAATGATGGTCTACATATACAACAGTGGTCCCATAAGACTATACTACCTTATTGTTACTCTACCTGTTCCAATTTTAGATACACGAATACTTACCATTGTATTACAGATGCTTACAGTATTCAGTACAGTAACAGCAGTACAGGTTAGTAGCCCGGGAGCAATAGATGATTCCATATAACCTAGCTTTGTGGTCAGCTGTGCGATCTAGGTTTGTGTAAGAACACTCTGATGTTTGCAGAAGAACATCGCCTACCGACACGTGAACGTATCCCTATTGTTAAGTGATGAATGACTGTATATAAAGCTTGATCTTTCAATCGGCGTAATAGGAAATTGCTTTTAATTTTAGCGTTGAGTTCTTAGAGTAAAGGGAGGCAGCGAGAGACCATGCTGCATGTGTCCCAGTCAGCTTGGGCTTTATTGTATGTTAAATGAGTTGTATGTTTATTTTGGTAGATCACCTAAATCTTTGGTCTCTCTAATTCCATGAATTTGGCTTGTTTCTGGTTATTTATGATATGACATTTGGCTAGAATTTTCCAGGTGCTAAAGGTGTAAGGAGTACAAAAATCCAGAGAACATTTTGCATTGGAAGAATTGATCATCTTGTATAGGAATCCTTTACCTAGTTCAAACATGTGAAATGGGCATAATTGGATTTGATTATTTTTGCTACAAAAAAATGTTTCATTTTTCAACCTGAGTTACATGGAAGAGTCTTTTAAAAAGCTAGTGGTTTTGGTACATTTAGAATATTCATTTACCAAGAAATCCAAATATAGCCTGCCTTTGTAAGAGACCCATTCTGCCAAATATATTTGAATCATCAAAATGGTTAACTATTTCCTTCCTAAGTATAAACCAAGTTGTATTAAGTAAGTTGATCTTGTAACCTTTAATGATGCTTTTTTTTTTTTTTTTTTTTTTAAATTTTCCTATCCAGTGACAAGAGGAACCAAGAACCTCAGTTCAGGGGAAACACAGCAAGGAAATGTGAGCCCCAGGCTGCAGAAGGTATGCGAAGGAGAATGTGAGCTCATCAGTTATTTGGGCATGCTGTTCAGTATTGTTACTGCCTTTTTTCTTGCCTGTGCAGATTTTAAACTTTTGATTAGGAGTATGTAAATGTACGCTTAGAAATGTTTCCTTAAATGTAATAATAGGAGTGTGCTCTGAGTCTGGGATTATGTGAGTTAGTACCTGCTGAGACCTGTGCCTGGCAGGGAGTGAACCCCGTACAGGTGTTTACTGTATATTGTTATTATTGTTCATGAAAGCCTGTCTTAACTACAGGTATATTTCTCATTCGACAGTTAAGAATATGTTTTCATTCTCCTAAGGGTAGTTAATCGTTCCAAGGCGGTAAATTGTGAGGATGACAACAGAGAAGACAAAGGAAATTTCTGAACGCAGATTGAGAGAAACCTTTACTGTGAATTTGAAAGTTTCAGTGACATGCAATAGAACTTTATAGTATAAACTCATATGCCACAGTTTTCATTATGAAGTTGTAATTTAATGATTCTAATGATAGGGTGATGCATTGTAGTTCAGAACATGCCCAGGGTTGACGGTGAAATGTCCCCATTTCTGCAGCCCTGGTCTGTCTAGTTCTCATCTCCCGTCATCCTCCTGGGGTTACCAGCTCCTTGTACATTACCAGGGTTTTTGTGTGTGTGTATGTGTGTGTGTGTGTGAAGTTCCTTTTAGAGTCTAGCTGTGTTTTAAAAGTTGAGCCCTGGATATGTGATCCCTGGTGTGTGTATGAGGTGAGGTTGTCAGTCAAGGGCCTCCTCATCTGACCCACCCCGTCCCTGCTTGCCCACTCTGCCTGAGGAACACTGGCTGCCTTGCCACTTTTGGAATTCTGGGACCCAGACCACAGTCTTTGCCCCGGGGTCTGCGTGGCTTGCTCCCACACTCTGTCCTGCCTTTTCTCAACATGTCCTGCCCATGCCCTTGTTTATTAGCCACTGCACCTGCCACCTGGCTTGATCATATACATGGATCACTTGATTTGTCTATGGCCCGTCTATGTCTGTTAGAAGGAAGCACTGTGAGACCAGGGAATGTGTGTGGCTGTATCCCCAGAGCCTAGCACAGCCCCAGCTCAGAGGAGGGCTTTGGTAAATATTGCTGAATGAAAGAATGTCTGGAAAAAGGCTGGTTAAGCAGAGTGAAGTGGGCTTATTTACCATAGGACTTTTCAGAACCTTTACTAAGTGAACGCGCAGATTAGAAGTGGGGCCTGGCAGGTGGGAGGCAAACTCATCAGCGGAGTAAGAAAGCCACTGTGCTTCTTCATGACAACTCAGACGTGGGGAAAAGCTGCTGGCAGGAATGGTATTGGCAGCTGAGCAAAATGAATTTACAAGTTTCCTTTTCGAAATGCAGGGGAGGAAGGATTTGCATCAAGAGATGGTAATAGTAACATTTCCATTGTTAGTAATTACAAACATGTACAATGTGTGCTGTTTTTCTTTTCTTTAAGGTGAGGAAGGGGGAAGATGAGGGCTTCTTATGGATTCTTCCTTCCCTGACCCTGCTTTGCCCATAAGGCCTTAAGTTCTTCAGCTGCCAGTTCAGCCTTGTGGGATGAATTGAGGAACCAAATCCTCTGGCTGCGTTTCAGATCCTGACATCTTTACTAGTGAAGATCCCATTTAATGACTGGAAGTAGGAAAGCTCTGAAGATGGATATGCAGATTCTAGGGATCAGGGAGGCTCTCTTCAGGGCCTGCACAGTTACCATGACTGGAGGGCGTGCAGGGGCTCAGCTTCTGCTCCCACCATTAGCTCCAGAGGCACTTTGGGAGTTGTCTTGGCTCCTTGAACAAAGGGGAGTTAATTACAGAAAATGCCAGGCTTTTTAAAGGCCATTTGTCACCTGGCTGTAGGGAGAGCAGCAGCCCTGGGCAGAGCCCTGAGGAAGGACTCCTCATGGCAGGCCCCAGGCCCCTTGTAGACGAAATAATGAGCCTTGGTGGTGTTATCCCCAGGTAGGATGCAAACCCCATGATGCAATTCTTTATTCAAGGAAACAATGCAGAGAGAATAGGACGGCCTTAGAGGAGCTGGGGTGAAGTGAATTTGGAATGCCTCTCTTCTAAAAAAAAAAAATGGGGCAGAGTTTTGTGTTGTTTTCCAAAGTCAGACAAAGCCTAATTCTACAGAGTCTAGTTACCCATAGATGGGAGGGCTGGAAAGGAGAGTAAGATGAAGGCAGTGGTGGAAGGTCTTAGATTCTAATTAAACCTCTTTTAGCTGTGTATTTGGAACGTTTGTAATTCAGAGCATCAATAGACTCTCGTTGACGAGACGCTTTTTTGCTGCCAATTTTCCTTCTTAAGATGGAAGGAGGTGGTGGGAGAATGGCATTTATGCCAGAATGCCTAGAGTCTGCATTTTAACAAGATCCCCAGGGGCATTCATGTCGGCATTAAAATTTAAGAAGGGCTGAGGTCCTGGACCAGCAATTCTCAGCCCTAGCTGCTCATTAGAGTCACGAACAGAGCTTTAAAAGAATGCCTAGGTACTGCCTCCAGAGATCTGTGTTGTCTTGGCTGGGGTATTCTGGGGGCCCGGGGTGTCACTGTGTTTCTTGAAAGTTTCCCAGGTGTCCAGCCAGGGCTGTGATCCACCACCCCAGACATAAAGCCAGACACCTTCAGATGTCGAGATTCGGAAGGCACATAATCCCGAAGCAAATGACACCACGCTTAGCTGGACACACCGCTCTTTAGGATTGATCAAAACCCACCACGTCAGATAATGTGGATCCTCCTAGCTCATCCGCTGGCTTCCAGAGCCACAGCCAGAGATGATGGGATGTGGAGCACCCAGCCGGGGTTGCTCGTGTCCTGTTAGAATTCTCCCTCCTCCATGAATGGAAATGACCTTGAGACCGGGCCGTTGCTGAGTGGACATTTGCTTTTTGCACCTTTCATTGTGCTGCCGAAGAAATTGTTTCAAAATTTAAATCAGATCATGACATCACCACCCCTCTTTTCAGGTAAAACTCTCTTCAGGGGCTCCCATTGCTTGCAAGGAAAACACCGTAATAGCTCTGGAAGGCCCCATGTTGTCTGGCCTGCATCTGCCTCAGCCTGTGCCCCGGAACTCCAGCCACATGGGCCTGCTTTTAGTTACTCAGAGGCCCCTTCCCTTGGCCTGGAACCCTGCCCTTCACCTTAGGTGACTGTGCTGGCCCCAACCACTCTGCCCAAGGCACATCCCCTTGTATTTTCTCCCCACAGCACCATGTGCCTCTCACACCATCAAGTACCACTCCTCAGATAGATTCTTTCCTTCGTGTGGCCCTGTTAGATGACAGGCTCCATAAGGACAAGACCTGTGTGTGTGTTTGGTTAGGGACTCAGGGTCATATCCTTGGCAGCTGTTTTACTGGATGAATGAATAAACTGGATACTGGATAATGAATAATGGCTTGAAGTCATTAGTTTTAGGCTATTTTGTCCTTAAACTTGTATGCACATACATACCTGTTCATGTTTGAGCACTGGATTTTGTAAACTGTAGAGATACTGGACCTGAGGTATTTTGAGAGAGGACCGGGCTGTAGTCTCACTGGTTCTGATTGGCTCATGTGGGATGTGACTTGTAGAACAAGTCCCAGTTTTCTAAATTTTTAACTAGTCCGGGTGCAGTGGCTCACACCTATAATCCCAGCGCTTTAAGAGACCAAGGCAGGTGCATCGCTTGAAGTCAGGAGTTCAAGACCGGCCTGGCCAACATGGTGAAACCCTGTCTCTACTAGAAATACAAAAACTTGCCGAGCGTGGCATGATTGTAATCACAGCCACTCAGGAGGCTGAGGCAGGAGAATCGCTTGAACCCAGGATGTGGAGGATGCAGTGAGCCAAGATCGCCCCACTGCACCCCAGCCAGGGCAACAGAGAGACACCCGGCCTCCAAACAAAAAACAAAAAAAAAACTTATTACAAATATTTTAAGTATGAATTGTATAAAGTACAAAAAGACCTCTTACTGTCCTCTCATGATTTTATTCTATGTATTACATATATGTATGTATGTTTGTATATGTGTGTAATCGTATCTCACACATACGTGATTTTTTTTTTTTTCTTGAGACGGAGTCTCGCTCTGTCACCTGGGCTGGAGTGCAGTGGCCAGATCTCAGCTCACTGCAAGCTCCGCCTCCCGGGCTTACACCATTCTCCTGCCTCAGCCTCCCGAGTAGCTGGGACTACAGGCGCCTGCCACCTCGCCGGGCTAGCTTTTTGTATTTTTTTAGTAGAGACGGGGTTTCACTGTGTTAGCCAGGATGGTCTCGATCTCCTGACCTCGTGATCCGCCCGTCTCGGCCTCCCCAAGTGCTGGGATTACAGGCTTGAGCCCCTGCGCCCGGCCACGTAATTTTTTTTAACAAGTGGGATCATACATTCCATCCTGCAACTTGTCTTTTTTGTTTACTGGTATATCTTGACACTTTAGATATGGATCTATGTCATTGGCTTGCCTTTCAGCATAGAGTTTTATTTAAAATGAAAACATTTTTGGACTTTGGCATGATTTCCTAACCCCCCCAACCAATGTGTTTTAAGTAGTAAGTGTATTTGAATGCATATACATGCTGTGGCTTAGATCATTTTCTTTCCAAGTAATACTGAAGTCCTCATAGCATTTGGTTGTTTTCTAGTCTCGGTTAATGGATATTAAACATGGAACTGCTCTGTGGAGACTGGAGAAATATTTTGAGGTTGAAAGGGGGCCTCATTCTTGGAAAAGCCCGGAGACCCTCAGGGAGAGGGTTGGGCAGGCTGCCTCCTGAAGTACCTTTCCACGTTCCTGAATTCTAGCAAGTTGCTCAGTTGACACAGTCATTTAGCAAATAGTGATTGTTGGCTCGTGGTATGCCAGGCACTGCTGTCCGGACCAACATGAGCCCACGTTTTGCAAGGAGAGCAAATGGCACACAGCGAGAGCATGTGGGCTGTGCTAGGTGCAGTGGAGGAAGTGGAGCCAGGTCAGGCGGCGCAGAGCAGTGCTGGGGGTGCCACCTGGGTGGTGATGAGGCAGAGCTGACTCTTCCTCTGCTGCCCACAGGAAAGGGAGCAGGCCCTGCTCACCCCGAGTGTACAAGAAGCCCAGTGACTGAGAGCGGCTCCTCAAAGAGCTCCCTCCTGGACTCCACAGTGACTGCCCACAGGCTCTATGGCCTGCAAGGGGCCCTACAGCCCGATATGGGAATGCTGGCAGGCAGATGTGCTTGAAATGCTGATAGGGGTCTGGGGTGTAATGCTCTTCTCAAGAGAGTGGCTTTGGCAGGGCTAGGGTTTTGCTCCTGAAGCTTTGCAAATCCACAGCCCCCACTGGAGTCTCCACATGTCCTGGCACCATCCCGGGGACAAGAAGCAGGGAATAAGCAGGGGAAGGAGGTGGGAACCCTGCAGTCCACCCTTCTCCTGTCCTAATGGAGTGGCCAGGGAAGGGGAGACTCTCTGTATATCTTAGTTTGGTAAGAGTTTGCAGAAGTCAAGTTAAAAATGGATTTTTTGAAAATGAAATACCCATCTGAAAGAACACATTGGATGATACGTTGTAAGTCGCATGATTGTTGAGAAGGTCTCCTGACTAATGGGTGTGCAGGTAGCTGTTTATTCTCATGGATGAAAAATGGGAGCCCGAAGAGCTCTTCGGTGACACACCCACAGCCATCTAGCTAGGGAGAGGGTGAGTGCAGACCAGTCCCTGGCCCCCAGCCTGGGTGAAAGAAGCTAAGAGCTCCTGACTTTAAATGAAAATCCAGTACTTAGGAAGGCAAACATGGCTTCAGGATAGCGCGCCTCTCCGTTTTCAGCTCGCGTAGGTGGCGAAATCCTATCCCTAGGCCAGCCGGCTTCCTGGAGAGCAGCAGAGGGGCTCTTCGTTTTCAGGTGAGGCCTCATCATCTTCCCACTTTACCTGCAGATATGAGCTCAGTGGGCGAAATCGTATTAGATCCCCTCAGAAGACTAGTTCCCACTGGAAAGATTTGATTCTTAAACTATAAAAACCTCCCAAGTGCTGCCCCAAGGCAGGGCAAGGGTGCTGGGGGTTGGAAGCCCAGAGGCAATGAACAGGGCAGGCAGTGGAGTGCGCAGTTCCCGGGTCCTCCCACCACGTGCTCTGCAGTCAGGCATCATGTGCAGGACGGAGGCAGTGCCTCTTATCACTCTTCCCTCTTTCATAGCCCTGAGCCTAGGAGAGGGTGGGTTGTAAGTCCCAGGATACTCAGAGCCAGGACCTCTCTGTTCAGAATTGCATGCAACCTGCTTGGTACATCCTGTTCTTTTTACTCCCTCCCGAACCCACTCTGGTGCCTCTGCTGCCCGGTTAGAAACAGTCTGCAGCTGGCATTTTTCAGGGGGTGCTCTCACTGTGACCGATGAGGATGGATCCCCCTGAGTGTACTGTCTTACAGGGATGAGCTCAGTGGACTCGGTACTGCTGGGCCCTGCATCCTCTGGCCACGGTCTAAGCCTCAGTTTCTAGAAGGGAAGTTGCTGGAATAAGAGTGTGTGTTGTTTTTTCTCTCTTCCTGGGGCAGACCATACTGTGGCATTAATTTCTGGCAACCACACTGAGAAGGTTGTAGATTAAGCTGGAAAATCATGAAGAGTGCCAAGGGATTGGTCAGTTTTTACTGGGGGTCTGCACCAGGCCAGGTGGGTGCTGGTTTTTTGTCTTCATTGTCTCATTTAATCCTCATGGCCACTCTGGGAGGAGGAGGGCCTTCTGTTAGAGATGGGACGTTGAGGCTTAGAGAGGTTGAGTGACTTACGGAGTCACAGAGCTCACACGTGTGAGCAGGGATTTGAACCAAGTCTGGGGCTCTTCACTTTGTGCCTCACCGCCTCTGACAAAGAGTGGTGGAAGGAGGAGGGGATTATGGGATGGAGACAGGAGACAGGACAGCTGGCTTCCAAGGAATTTGGCATGTCCCCTGCTGGGTGGTGTTGCTGATAAACTACAGTATGCTCGGTTAAATCCGAAGTTCAGAAAACAACACATAGGTTTTTTTTTTTTTTTTTTTTTTTTTTAGTATAAGTATATGCAATATTTAGGACTTTATACTAGAAAAAACCCTGAAATTAAACCTAACTGGGTATCCTGTGTTTTTATTTGTTCAACCCGACTTGGGGAACCCAGGAAGGATGCTGGGCCTAATATCTGGGCACAAAAAATACTGGTTTGGGAGCGGGGGGTATAAGTGTGTCTCATGCAATATTTAGGTTATACTTACACTAAAATTTTATGTTGTTTATCTGAAATTTAATCTTAACTTGGGGGGGTGGTGTCCTGTATTTTTATTTGTCTAATCAGGCAACCCTATTGGTGACCCCAGGAGACACACAAAGCCTTATACACGGGCACCTGAGCATGGCTCATGAGCCATTCGGAGAAAACCCAGGCAGCTTGGCGGGTGGTGAGCTCCCCACTGCAGGCTGTATTCAGGTGTGGCCGGATAAACACGTGGTGGGTGTGTCACGGAGCGTATTTGCATTCCAGATGCCTGGTTCCAGTGAGATTCTAGGATGTATATGTTGAGACCAGGAGGAGAGTGATGTACCTGGGTCTTCCTGGAGCTCTGAGCCACGCAGGGTTAGGAAGCTCTCTCTGAAATTACTTGCCGTCAGCACCGTGTTGAGGGGACCGCTTCTCCTTGCCATGCAGAAGTGATGGATGGCCTCAGTCAGTTGGTGGAAGCCAGCTCAGCCCAGGGTCATATCTGTATGTGGAGAGCTTTGGCTTGAAGAAGCACTGCGTTAAAGGTGAAATGAAACACACTTTCTTGTGTCACCTGCCAAGAACTGACAGTGACTTTCCAGTTCTTTATGTGCCTCCTGCAGCAGAGTGTGGCTTCTGTGCCAGGCTGAGGACCAACATGCCCCGTGTTGCTCCCTGGCTGTGACAGCATGAAAAACACCCACCTCAGTGTTCTACCCAGTCCGTTGCTGGCGAGTGGGCAGAGGCGAGAAGCATCAGTGTTCATTCCTTTGCTTTTTTAGAGCTTCTCTAGGTGTGGCTACATCTTGTCAGCCAGTCAGAATTTTAAACACAGCCAGCTCATAATTGCCCCAGCATGGCTTCTGCCCACTGTGAACAACCCTCAGCTACGGCCTAGTCCTTGGCAGGCCTCTTCCTGCCACCTGCTTCCAGGCCGTCGTGGGAGCTCACTGGGACCTTAGCCTGGGCCCAACAGGAGTCGGGGGCAAATGTGCAAAGGAGTCTTATTCTGTGTTCCAAAAACACACAGAGGTGGTCTTCTCTGATGATCATGTCTCTCCATTAGGGTGTTCTAAATTTGATTTTATTATTGAATCCATCATTTATATCATTAATTCAATGTGGAATGTTAAGTTAAATGCCAAGTGAAGCTACCTTATTGTAGCAGTGGGAAAAAACGGAAATATTTGTGCTGACACTTACTGACGGAAATCGCCTGCCATCTTCACTCCTCTTTGTTGACCTGATGCATTTGTAAGCAGCAGGGGCGTCTCGCTTGTGTTTTCCAGGAAGAGTCAGTGAATGGCTGCAGTGTGACAACATGCACCACCAGTGGCTGCTGCTGGCCGCGTGCTTTTGGGTGATCTTCATGTTCATGGTGGCTAGCAAGTTCATCACGTTGACCTTTAAAGACCCAGATGGTAGGTATGCCTCGTGGCGGAATGAATTTTGGCTAATTCAGACCTTGCTGCAACACTGTTCCTAGGTACATGTACAGATGACGTCTGTCACAGAGTCAGAGGACTCTCATGCCAGCAGGGACCTTGGAGGTCATGGCCTCCGTTCCGTCATGTTACAGAGGTGCGAGGGGAGGTGTGAGGGAGGGGCTGGAGGGTCTTTTCAAGCATCTCCTCTGGAGGAAGGAAGGTGCTCTCTGTGGCTGAGGCCTGGGTGGTGCCTGAGGAGCAAGGAGCAGGGCCTCCTCCCAGCAGCGCAGTGGCCATATGCCCTGCAGCCGGGTGCCTCTCAGGCTCGCAGTTAGAAATTCTCTCTGCCTCATGTCATCATGAGAGGTGCAGCCTCAACTGCTCGGCGTGGCCACATGAGTGAAGGTCACCCTCCGTGCAGTGGAGGGGGGTCATTTAAATGTATGTCTTCAGGTTGTCTCGGAGGCTTTTTTAGCTCTACTGAACATAGACATTCAGATGAGGACGGATAAAGAGCGCCAAACTGGGTCTCAGAATTGCTGATTCTACTTCGTGCTCTTGTCATCGGCTTGTCTGCATCACAGTGTTTCTCCCACCGCATGGACACCCTGCCTGCTCCGGCACCGCCCGTGATTGCCCTGAGCAGGGTGAGGCGCTCTGTGGTCTGTGGAGTGCTGGATATGTCCAAAGAGGTGTGTGAGGTGCTCTCCAGCCCCGAGGCCACTTCATTCAGTGGCCAAGCAGGCGAGCACGAGGAGGCCAGACACACATGTAGTCATTGAAGTCCTCATTCTCGCCGTGGATTGGCCCATTCCTTCAGGCTGATGGGGAGATACTGGGGAACGTAGGTGAGCACAGCATCTTTCCCCTGCACTGCACTTTGTGTGTCCTCCTGCCGATGGTGGCCTTGGGAAGGGGCAGCTAGGAATGCCTCCGTGCCAGCAGTTTTTCCTGGAGGCTGCACTGACCTGTGTTGTCTGTGTGACTGTGGGGAACGGCCCCTGCTCCACCCCACAGAGCTCCCAGGCACGTCCCTGGCTGTGTCAAGGGCTGCCCAATGTCCTACACCTCCTGCCCCATCCTCTCTCTGCCCCACCCTGTCTGCAGAGGGACAGCAAGGTCAGAAAGGAGGTCTGCAGGGAAAAGAGGGACACCCTGAAATTAGCCCGCATGGTGGTTCTCCCCGTGACAGTTGTTGGGCCCTGATTGGCTGTCATTGCATGTCCCACCTCATCCCCCAGGAGCCCTCGAGAGAAACCTGTGAGGTGTGCACAGCCTCGGGAGGTGGTATTACACCTACAAGTATCTGGGCAGGTGTCACGGAGCATGACAGCTCACACCCAGGACTCGGGGTTCCGTCAGCAGAGCAAGGGTGGATGCTTGGAAGGTTGCTGGAATGTGAGACGATGATCTCAGTTTGACAGTTTGGACATTTCCATGGCAGCTTCAGCCCAGTGACATGCCACTGAGAGATCCCTCCTGAAGCCCTAGCACCGTGGTTCTCATCCCCGCAGCACTTCAGAGTGACCTGTGGGATTTTACAAACCTGCTGTGCGTGAGACCCAGTGGAGGAGAATCCCCAGGGGTGCGGCCAGTTGAGAAGCACAAGTGGAGATGCTAGCTGGAGCACGGAAGAGAAGCAGAGCTCTGAGAATAAGAAATAGGTGTTACTCGGGATGCTCCTAAATGTCGCCTCCTGGTGTGGAAGGCACTCAAAAGCCAGGTCATGAGGTTAAATTGTTTATGGTTTATTTTGCTTAAAAAAGTAGGAGTAGATGTGATACATTTTAGTGATACTTCTATCGGTAATAGTTAAATAAGACATGTGCCTTTGTGTGTTACTGTTACCTGGCAGAATGGCCTCTAAAGAATGCCGTGCGCGGTGGCTCAAGCCTGTAATCCCAGCACTTTCGGAGGCCGAGACGGGTGGATCACAAGGTCAGGAGATCGAGACCATCCTGGCTAACACAGTGAAACCCCGTCTCTACTAAAAAATGCAAAAAAACTAGCCGGGCGGGTTGGCGGGCGCCTGTAGTCCCAGCTACTCGGGAGGCTGAGGTAGGAGAATGGCGTAAACCCGGGAGGCGGAGCTTGCAGTGAGCTGAGATCCGGCCACTGCACCCCAGCCTGGGCGACAGAGCAAGACTCCGTCTCAAAAAAAAAAAAAAAGAATGCCGTGCTTCCCAGTGGCGTCTGGTAGATGAGGTCTCATTCTCCTTTGATGTATCGAGTTTCGTGCTGAATGTTTTCAGTGTAGACACTGATCCTGGAAGCTAAGCAGGGGTGGGCCCGTTAGAAAAAAAGCAAGTGTAGGCGTGGAGCAGGGTTTTGTGAAGAGGAGAAAAGGAGTGGTAGGGCGTGTTAGAAGATAAAACCTATGAAGAAAGATGAAGGGCTTTCGGATTTTATACCTGGAGAGGGGCACCGCAGCCAGCGGTCCTTAATCCTGCCCATGAGATCCTTCCAGCCGGCTGCCTGAAGGCGAGTGGAAGGGGGTGTTTCCCCTGCCCTGTGAGATCTGGGGTGTGGTGTGTGAGTGCTGGGTCACTGAGATGGGAGAGCTGCCCCGGACCCCGAGGCAGGGGGTGCTGGTGCTGAGGATGCTGTTGGCTGCACAGTGTCCAGTGAACTCAGCGAGAATCCTCTGTCGTGGGCTCACTCCAGTTGCGGGGTGGCCGCCACGGCACTACCCAGCCTGCGTCACTCACGTGGGATGTTACCTAATTGTCCCAAAGTACCTGGTTAGGATCCTGAAGGCGGATGTCCGCTGGCCGAGTTCTGAATGCAGGATGCGAGCTGACACGCAGCATCTTGCCAGTGCACAACGACGCTGGGCTGAAGCATCAAGAGCATTTACACTTAGAGCCTGCCCTACAGAGGCCCTGGGCTGGGGTGGTGTAGGCCTCTCCCCTGGAGCCCGCCCCTCCAGCACTGTGTTTAGAGAGTGTGCCCCGGAGCCTGGATCTTGGGCGGCACAGGAAACCCAAAGGGTTGTGTAACCCAAACCCAAACCCAAAGGGTTTGTAAACTTGTGGCCATAAAGGGTTTTTCACGTGTTGGAGTTTATTTCACACACGTTCACGGTGTTTTTGGTTATGAACCGGAAGCCCATTGTGAAGTGTCACGACGAGGAAATAACAGACGCAGCAGTGTCCTCAGCGGGGAGTTCCATTTCCTGGAAAGTGCGTGGAGAAGCCTTGGCCTCAGTGCTCCCGGGCTGCCCTGTCCTCTGGGACAGGGCCGGCCTCAGAACCCTGGTCAGTGGTGTGCGTGTTCTTCTCACCTACCTGCCTTTCCCGGTTTCTCCTGCCACTGGAGCCCCTAGGAAGAGCATGGCTGTCTTGAGTTGCTGTTTAAAGCAACACTTTTTTTAGTGTTACAGTTTCTGTTCAGCTCAGCAGTGGAGCCAGTGATATTTGTGGCAATGATTTATCCTCAGTTAGCAAATTTCAGTATCGTATTGAACTAGGATCAGGTGTTGTAACTAGATTTTCTCGTAGGAAAATAAATCCCTCTCAGTGAAGGGAATGTGATGGAATCATATGGCGAGACTCAAAATGACGCCCTTGTGGACCTGGTTTGTGTGTGTAGGCGCTGGCTTTTCCTCTCTCCTGGTTGACCTCCTCATCCGTTCTGAGCCTCTGGAGGGCAGAGCCTGTGATGTGAAGGTCTCTGCAGCCTTGACCATCTTTGCGTGTGTTTATTTGCCGTCTGTGGATACTCCCCAGTGAGATGTCTGGGTGTGTCGTACCTGTTTTCTAATTGGATTGGTTGGTTTTTTAATTGTTGAGTTTTGAGGGTTCTTTATATATTTTAGATAGGAGTCCTTGGTCAGATAAGTAGTTCGTAAATATTTTTTCCCTGTCTGGAGCTTGTCTTTTCCTCCTCTTCAAATGGGCTTTCACAGTGCAGATTTTCTCCTTGGTTGTTTTTTTAAAAAGATTGTTGGTTTTATGTTTCACATTCAGGTCTGTGATCCACTTTGAGTTCACTGTTGAATAAGGGGTGAGGTTTGGATCGAGGTTTGTTCCATGTGTGATGTCCAGGTGCTCCAGCACCATTTGTTGAACAGACCGCCCTCCTCCGCCGAATGGCTTTTGTGGCTTTGTCAAAAGGCATTCCGGCGTCTTTGAGAGCTTCTATTTCTGGGGCCTCTGTTCTGTGCCATCCACCTGTGCGCCTTTTCCTTTTAGAGAAGACATTCAACTTCTCTGTCTTTCAGTGTACAGTGCCAGACAGGAGTTTCTGTTCCTGACAACCATGCCGGAAGTGAGGAAGTTGCCAGAAGAGAAGCACATTCCTGAGGAACTGAAGGTGGGCACAGCCAGGCCGTGGTCCTTGTCCCCTCGAACACAGCACCCCTGTTGCGGGGAGCTGGCCTTCCCCTGTGGCCGGTTCCGCTTGTCATCACATCTGCGTTAGAGCCTTTTCCTGTGTTACTTCTCCATGTTTAGTTCACTGTGTTAATTTCCATTTGGGGGAGGCAGAGGCCAGGTCTATTTTTGTGCTCCTCACAGAGCTCGGTGCATCAGGGCTGCTCTGTCACTGTTGGTTGGGTGGCATTCCTGACCAGGTGAACATGAGCCTCGCCCGGGTAGCCGAGAGTATTGGGCAGGGTCAGGAGGAAACCAGGAGTGGAAGAAGACGTTGTCTCACCAAGTCATGGGATTTTAGAGCAAAAGGGGGCCCTGGACAGTAGAGCAACTAATTCAGCCTCCAAATTCTGTGGATGAGAGAACTGAGCCTAGGAAAAAGGCAGATCCTCCACAGTCTCATGGAGTTCCTGGCGGAGCTCAAGGCTGCTGACTTCCACCCAGCCCTTGCCTGGCTTGACGTTCTGGCTCCGTGTCTTTCTCTGCAGGCTTCCTGTGCACCTAAATTCCTAATCATTCCCTGGCTGGGATGAGGGGTGCACTCTGGAAGGCCTCTCACTTCCTAACCCCCATTCTGGAGCTAGAGGGTCGAAGTTGCAATTGTGCCAGAAGGGATGAAATGGGTATAGCAAGCCCTGAAAATATTTTTAAGCCCAGAATCAAGCCATAGAGATGGGGACAGCTCCTAGCCATGGTTCACAGTGTAAGGACGATAAATTAGAACTCTGTAAACATAGAACACACACACCAGTCAGAGTAGAGTGCTGCTGGAGGTTACTTCTCGTACGACATTGAGGGAATGGAAGTCAAGTCTACAGAACTCTGAGACAGCCTAGGTGTTGCTTTTAGGTTGAGGCATCCCAGGGTAAGAAAATAATTTGGATGGGCTACAGAAACAAGACCAGAAAATCCTATGGAGAATAGGAGAGTGACTTTAATAGGATGGATTTAAAAGGAAATCAGTTACATGGGTGAAAACAAATGCAGGGTAAGCCTTCGGCAAAGTGTCACAACAAGGTTCCCTCGAGGATGCCACATCCTGTGAGGAAGAGGGCGGTCATGTTGGTGCTCCCTCTCCCTCTCTCCGGGTGGAGGGTGCTCCCGGAGAGATTGCCAGCCTGCAGGAGTCGTTGCAAATAAAAAGACTGCGCCTGAATGTGCTTTCCAGTTTGCAGTGTACTTTACTGGGTTTCAATCTCATTGGTCTTCTGAGCCGCCCTCTGAGGTATATTTTTATTCTCAGTTTGCATTTGGGAAACATGAGGCTCAAGGAACTGTGCTCACTGGGTCAGTATCCCCTGGACAGCCAGTTGTGAGCCTGGGCTTTGAACTCAGTGTCCTCTGTGCCCTTCTCTTACCCCTTGCTGCATTCATTCTTGTGAGACTCAGATGGGAGGTGAGGGAAGTGGGGGATGTCAGGGGTGATGTCTGCTGAGGCCACGTTTCCTTGACCCAGCATGGGTCTTCTCACAAAGAACGGGATTTATCAACGTGATCGGGTTCCGTAGCTCGCCTTTAAAAGTTTATTTTGGCCGGGCGCAGTGGCTCACTCCTGTGATCCCAGCACTTTGGGAGGCCGAGGCGGGCAGATCACCTGAGGTCAGGGGTTCGAGACCAGCCTGGCTAACATGGTGAAACCCCATTTCTACTAAAAATACAAAACAATTAGCCAGGTGTGGTGCCATGCGCCTGTAATCCCAGCTACTTGGGAGGCTGAGGTAGGAGAATCACTTGAACCCAGGAAGCAGAGGTTGCAGTGAGCTGAGATCGTGCCATTGCACTCCCATTTGGGCAACAAGAGCAAAACTTGGTCTCAAAAGAAAAAAAAACTTTATTTTGTGCATGATGTAGCCAAATGTTTGAATGGAAAATAGAAAATGATATCTATCTTTAAATTGGTTTTGTATATTTCCAAAAGGAAAAAAAACAGCGCTCATTTGTAGACACAATTGAACAGGAAATCTTTTTTCTTTAGCTGGGCATGGTGGCTTATTATGCCTGTAATCCCAGCACTTTGGGAGGCTAAGGCAGGAGAATCGCTTGAACCCAGGAGTTCGAGACCAGCCTGGGCAATATACTAACACCTCATCTCTACAAAAGATACAAAAATTAGGTGGTTATGGTGGTGTGTGTCTATAACCCCAGCTACTTGGGAGGCTGAGGTGGGAGAATCACTTGAGCCCAGGAGTTGGAGGCTATAGTGAGCCATGATTGTGCCACTGCACTCCAGCCTGGGTGACAGAACGAGACCTCGTCCCTTAAGAGAAGAATTTTTGTCTTTGTCTTTAATGTTTTGCTCAAAGAAAAGCAATATCTAATATCTTTTTTCTTGTTGTTCAAAGGGAAGCAATATTTAAAAGGGCAGCGTTTTCTGCATTTTCTAAAGGGAACTTGCTGGGACGTGCTCTCCCCTGACGCACTGCTCTTGAGTGCCATCCGTGATCGGGGTTAGGTTTGGAACAGAAGGAGGAGAAGACAGAGGCTTTTTTGGGATAAGTGAGCAAGAGGCGGGATGGATGAGGAAGTGAGGTTAAATGAGACCCGTTCTTCTCAGAGCAAGGAGAGTGCCTGGCGTGGCTCCTAATTTTCTGTGGCGGGCGGAGGGCCCCGGGCAGCCGCCGATGCCCTGTGGGGAGGAACGGAGGCCACTCTGCAAAGGGGCCTCTCGCTTCCAGTGTCTTCATCTCGGAAAGCAGGCAGTCAGGAGCCCCCAGGACGCCCTTCCCACCACCAGGGAGTCCCAGGAAATTCACTCAAACACACGAGGGAGAAAGCATCCTGGCCAGAGGTCATGAGTGTAAGGGAGTTTGGTTACAGTAGATCCACAAAGGAAGAGCTGGGTAGGGGGCATTGAGGGGCGCCCTCTGTCATCCTGATAGTTCCAGCGTCTGCATTCTAGTGTGTTCTGGAAGGCTTACATCCTTCCCATTTTCTAACTGACATTGTCCCCTGGGAGGACAGGTTGTTAAAACTACCCTATAAATGGATTTCCTGGCAAGCCTAGCGCATTTTAAAAGATATAACAAGGACATTTGGGTCCATTCAATACAATTATTTGGAAGGATCGCCTGCTTTGAAATCTTGGGAAGTTCTGTGTAGCTTTAAGAGATAGATGTAGCAGCAGAAGCCTTCAAAATGCTGAGAAACAGGGCCACAGCTAGAGGAGGCGGACGGAGTGGTGTTGGCGGAAGCAGCCCTGCTATTCAGGAGTGCCCTCGGGATACCCCCGGGGGACAAGGAGGTGTGAGCAGCAAGGGGACTTAAACTCATCGAGGACAGGGGGCCTCTGAGCAACTTCTGTGTGTACTGGTACATCTCCCTGTGCCCCCTCCAACCCATGCACACACAAGGCCTCTCACGTTACAGGTATTCTCTTAGGTTCTAAAACAGCCCCGAAAAGAAAGGACCAGCATGTAGAATTTGAGCTTTTCCATTTTCTTTCCCCCTAGCCAGAGGATTCCAAACCTCTTACTTTGGTTTTTAATTTTCTTTTTTTTTTCCCCCAAGACGGAGTCTTGCTCTGATGCCCACGCTGGAGTGCAGTGGTGCGATCTCAGGCTCGCTGTAACCTCCACCTCCCAGGTTCAGGTGATTCTCCTGCTTGAGCCTCCCAGGTAGCTGGGATTACAGGCATGCACCACCACACCCAGCTAATTTTTGTATTTTTAGTAGAGATGGGGTTTCAGTATGTTGGCCAGGCTGATCTTGAACTCCTGACCTTGGGATCTGCCCACCTTGGCCTCCCAAAGTGCTGGGATTACAGACATGAGCCACTGTGCCCGGCCTTATTTTGTTTCTTAAAGTCAAACTTCTCTCCAAAGACGTCCAAGGAACCAAGCTCACATGCATTTTCCTTGCCCAGCCTGCCGATCGGGCTGGTGAAGAGGCTCTGAGGAAGGCCTCGGGAGGGGGCTGGGGTTAGTGGGTGTCACTCTGTAGAAAGGCAAGGAAGGGAAGAAAAGAGGGCCCCAGATGGAAAGGAGGGGATAGGCCAGCAGGAGCAGCTCTGCTTGACCCGGTCCTGCCTCTTTTAATGGTCGCTGGGCCTCTTCTGCTCCGTGTCACCTGCAGCCAACTGGGAAGGAGCTTCCAGACAGCCGGCTCGTTCAACCCCTGGTCTACATGGAGCGCCTGGAACTCATCAGAAACGTCTGCAGGGATGACGCCCTGAAGAATCTCTCGCACACTCCCGTCTCCAAGTTTGTCCTGGACCGAATATTTGTCTGTGACAAGCACAGGATTCTTTTCTGCCAGACTCCCAAAGTGGGGAACACCCAGTGGAAGAAAGTACTGATTGTTCTGAACGGTGTGTGTGGGTTCGCGGAGTGTCCCTCTGGGAAGGGTCTCGGCGGCCGTGGCTGAGGAGGCTGGGGAGGACGGCCAGGAGGAGTCACACAGGGGCTGGTTTCTCCTGAAAGGACTGGTGGCCTTCCAGTCAGGCCTGCTTTTGTTGTTTCCTGTTAGTGTTGTGCCTTAAAAGTTAGGGGGGCTCGTTTAGACACCGATTCTTTTCAAAGGGGCACAGCCACAGTCCGGCTCTCCTCACCTGTCACAGCGGATCCTCACTTTTGGTGGCTCGCCCACCCCCAGGCCCCCCTCCTTTGTCTCTTCAGGTTCCCTGGCTGATGGTTATGGTCACCCACTGTGTCCCACGTCCCCAGAGCCCCACACTCGCTGAGCCGCCAGGTAGCCTCACGGTTACCCTCTCTGCAATGAGAAGGGCTCACACCATAGATCCTGGGAGGGGAGGCCTGGCCCGGGGCCTGGGGCCTCTTTACCTGCAGACCAAGTGTTCTTTGTCAGCGAGCAGGAAGAAATTGTACCCCATTTCACACTAAGCATCTGCGTTCAGAGGATTGAGTCAGCTTGCTTCAGGAAACCTGATGTTTGCTAAGGAACAGATTAGATCATCACAAAGTGACCTCATACACGGCAGTTTTGATTACTCACTACTCTTTTTAAAAAGAGATGTTTATTTATTTTAATTCCAATTAGTCTAAACCTATCCTCATAATCATGGGCTCTGCTTATGAAATTTAGCTTCAGACAGAAGTTGGTTCGTGTCAGCAGCAGTGGGACTCCTGGATCAGGAATCAGATTTTGGGGCACCATGGGTGGGTGGTCCTGGGGCTCCGTGTCCTGCTTGCCACTCCTGATGCTGCCCACAGAGTCCGTGGTCACTCCTGGCCGCTGTTTGGCCTTCACACGGGTTGGCTGGGAGAGAGAATGGTGGCATCTCATCTTCTGGTTGTCACATATAGTTAATGTGCTTCTGCAGTCATTGGATAGCATGTTGGGTTTTCAGAAGCAGAAGGAGGCTGCAAATCAAATTGAAAACAAGAACTATACAAAAGACTCACAAATCAGCCACCACAGTGTGAAGCCGCATACTTTAAGAAGTAAACACCCACTTACAAGGGCAGTGTAGACATCGGAGTGGGCTTGCTGTGTCATGTAATACAGAAGCGGGTGGTCCTTGTGGCTGTCTTCGGTGACCACTGGTGTACCTGGATGGGGACAGGTACGTGAATGGGTCCATACATGGACCCACAGAGCTGGTTCTGCCATTGTGCCCTTGAGAGCAGTGCTCCCCATGCCTAATTTGCAACCATCCATAGCACATACTGCAGAGTTCTGGACTAGGCTTTAAACACTCGGGGGAGGAATGAATAAAACAGACAAGACTGTGTCCGCTGCTCAGATGGCCAAGGGAGAGTCTTCCCTGCCAGGTCTCCAATCTTAACCCTACAGGATTAACACAGAGATGGATATTAAGGTTTGCAGAGGCTTGGAGAAAACCTCAGCATACTGACGTATATTTCCATTTGTCTGCATTGAGAAAAGAGTGAAAAACCTGCTCGGCCCCCAGGCCGAGGATGGCCCCTGCCCAAGTTCCATTCAGCAGCCTGGACCTGCACTGGTCCCTGATGACAGACCCTGGCTGTTGGCACGGCCCTGCCTACTCGACACGCCTTGTCCTCTTTTGACTCCTGTCTCAAATGTATCCCATAGCTTAGTCAGATTTTTCCAGCATCAAAAGGTCCTTGCTCCTTGCCAGCCTGGGATGCTCCGGGGTACCTGAGCGCCACTGTGGGCCGGGCGGCATGTGGTGCTTGGAGAGCTTAGCCTGTCTATGGGATAGGGCTGTGAAGCTGCCGCCGGCATCTGTTAGCACGACGTTCCAAAGTCCTGCTTCTCCGGCATTTTCCCCCAGTCTCAGAGTAGAGTAAGTGTTGCTGGTGTTAGGAATTCTGTTTGCATGCAGCGATCTTCCTCTAATGGCAGATTTAGCCCGGTTAGGTCCATTGCCAGGGGTAGGCACTGCCAGCATTTCCACTCCTGCTCCCTCCCCCTCCTCCCTGAAAGCGTCAGTTTCCTCTAGTTGGCTTATGGATTCACCAGAAGCTTTTCTTCACTCTCTCATCCTGCTGGCAGAAGCAGTTGGAATTCAAAGGCCTAAACTTGGATATTGGGGGTGGGCGTGTCATGCACACGTGGGGAACATGGGGCCCGAGGTAAGGACATGCCCTTCTCTAAGGGGCGCACTGGAGCAGCCAACCCGCCTTCCCTTCTGTTTACTTCCCAGGAGCCTTTCCTTCCATTGAGGAGATCCCCGAAAACGTGGTGCACGACCACGAGAAGAACGGCCTTCCTCGGCTCTCTTCCTTCAGTGATGCAGAAATTCAGAAGCGGTGAGAGCAGCTTCCTCAAAGGGGAGGGGGGAGTTTTTGTAAACCTGGGAAGAAATTTGGGAAAAACCCCAGGCTCAGTTCTGTACTTGCCAGGTTGATTGGAGGACCACGGAGGGCTGTCGGTTTGCATCAGTGAGAGGCAGCTAACTTCACCCCCCATTCAGCTCCTCTCAACTCTCAGTTCCTTCTGAGAACTTCCAGCCTCACGTTCACACAGTCCATTAACATGAAGGTTACATAATTTGATTGATAGGAATGAGCAGACAGCTTTGTTCTCCTTTGGTAAAGTTTTATAGATTGCTTTGCTGAACATGATCTTTTCTTTACAACAAAGGGATTTGGATTGCAGAGACCTCACTGAGTATTTGATTCTCCCGGAGGCATTGTGCCCACTGCTGTGGGAGCTGCCCCTGGAGTGGTTGTGTGGGCTACATCCAGCATGGGCAGGGTAGAGAGACAGAACCCCTGATCGCGGCAGGGATGGAGTCCAGGCTGGGCACAGTGGCTCACGCCTGTAATACCAGCACTTTGGGAGGCCAAGGTGGGCGGATCATTTGAAGTCAGGAATTCAAGACGAGTGTGACTGACAGAAACCCCGTCTCTACTTTAAAAAAAAAAAAAAAAAAAAGCCATGGTGGCACACACATGTAGTCCCAGCTACTTGGGAGGCTAAGACAGGAGAATTGCTTAAACCTTGGAGGCAAAGGTTGCAGTGAGCCGAGATCTGGCCACTTCACTCTAGCCTGGGTGACAGAGCAAGACCGTCTCAAAAAAAAAAAAAAAAAAAAAAGATGGAGTCCTTAGCTAATCAGTGAGAAAGTTCTCATGCAGTAGCTCTCAGGTGGTCCGGGACAGCAAAGCTGAAAAGGAGTGAGGATACAGAAGCAGCAGCTCACGTCGGGTCACCAGCTGGATTTTGCCTCCTGGGTCTGCAGCCACCTGCCTTGCATGGCGCCCGTCCACCCTTACAACCCTTACCAGAGATGCTCCTGGTGAGGACTGTGCCGCTGTCGCCTTGAGCACTCGTGGGGCTTTTGTGAGACTCAGTGAGTGAAGACGTGCAAAGCACAGAGAGCAGTTTCTGGCCCGTCGTAAGCACGCCGTGTTCCGTGGTGTCACTGTTGTCATCGTCACTGCTGCCGGCCCTCCTCCCCAGGGCCCTGCTCTGCTGCCGCCTGCTGGCAGCTCACCCAGACCCGCTTCTGCCCGCTGGAGTGTGAAGCCTGACTCTCCATTTTCTCTTGCCCCCCTTCCCCTGGCAATTGGAATTGAATTTTTTAAAATACGCCCTTAAAGTAACTTTCCCTGGCCTCATCTATTCCTGACTCACTCATAGTTCCTGCCCTTAGGATTTTCTGCCCAGGAACGACATTTGTAAACGTTCTTGAATCATTGAATCAATGGTTTTGAATCATCCAGGTAAAACAGAATGTAGATTAATAGATGTCTTCACAGTGACTGCCTACGGTGAGTGCTGTGGCCTTGGACAGGTGAGATTTTCCAAGCCTCCGTTTCCTCACCTGCCAAGTGGGGTAATAACAGGATTAATCCACAGGATCTTGGAGTAGATTAAGTAAGAGACGTGTGGAATGCGTTCACGGCAGCCTCGGCAGGTGAGGGTCCCATGCACAGTGCTGCGCTCTGCTCACTCCTCCCTCTCCCGCCCCCTCGGCTGTGACCTCCTGGGGTGTCAAGTTAACCTCTTGTTCGTTTTTTTCCTTAGATTGAAAACATACTTCAAGTTTTTTATTGTAAGAGATCCCTTCGAAAGACTTATTTCTGCATTTAAGGATAAATTTGTTCACAATCCCCGGTTTGAGCCTTGGTACAGGCATGAGATTGCCCCTGGCATCATCAGAAAATACAGGAGGAACCGGACGGAGACCCGGGGGATCCAGTTTGAAGATTTCGTGCGCTACCTGGGCGATCCGAACCACAGATGGCTAGACCTTCAGTTTGGGGACCACATCATTCACTGGGTGACGTATGTGGAGCTCTGTGCGCCCTGTGAGATAATGTACAGTGTGATTGGACACCACGAGACCCTGGAGGACGATGCCCCCTACATCTTAAAAGAGGCTGGCATTGACCACCTGGTGTCATACCCGACCATCCCTCCGGGCATCACCGTGTATAACAGAACCAAGGTGGAGCACTATTTCCTGGGCATCAGCAAACGAGACATCCGACGCCTGTATGCACGTTTCGAAGGGGACTTTAAGCTCTTTGGGTACCAGAAACCAGACTTTTTGCTAAACTAATGCATAGGACCTATGAATTCAAATATCTTTGTTAGACCTGGGGCTAACCAGGTGGAGGTCGGAGCCCAGAAATGACCCTTTCTCCACCACACCCCTCCTTTTAGGATGCCTGGGGTCTCCCACAGGGCTGTGAGTTGCCTCGACATATGACTCAGGACCCCGACTGTTACAACTTAGTTCGGATGTAAGATGCTCTGAGGACCCTGCCCCCACCCCTGCCATTGTCGTTAGGATGTCGCTGGCCTTTGCTTACCTCAGACGGGAGAGAAGACTTAAGATTTGCAGTTTGACAGCCCAGCAGGGAGGACGCATCACACAGCGTTAGGAGCCATTTCCCTCAGGTGTCAAGGAAGGGGATGGCCCTGAGGTTCTCCTGGCTAGTTGGGGTGGCCTCACCCGTCACTGGGTCACTGGTTGGTTGCAGGAACAGCACCCAGCACTCTGAGGAGGGACAGAGAAGCAAGGGGACTGCTGAAACCACAGAGGCTCTTGCAGCATCAGATCTGAGGAATAAAACGGCACCTCTGGCCTTCATCTGGGTGCTGCTACGATTGTGGAGGCAAAGCATTCTTTCTGTGACTGTTTTGTTCCCGTGGTCAGCGATGGCCAGAGGGTGGTGTGGTGGGTGTGTGGGGGTCCATCTCCACCTGTCTCCTCCAGGGAGCTCCCACCTTGGAGCTGAAGACTAGCAGGGGCCACGTGCCAGCATCACAGGATTCAGTGTCGTTTACATATTTCGATTCCTTTCATCTCAGCAAAATGGGCACCGCCAGAGCCATTTCTCATCATGCCACCATCCTGGACCATGTGACTGGAAGGTGGGTAACCAAGTTCACCAGCAATAAAACCCATGGCCCAGGTAGCCTCCAGCAGCGTGACTTCCTGGCAGCGAGGTAGGCCCTGGTGCAGGGCAAGCCACAGCGACCATCTCAGATACCATCCACAGCCAGGGCCGCCGTGACCCGGGACAGTTTCCTGGGGTGAGTGCCAGCCTGAGCCTGCATGGTGCTGCCGAGCCCGGGGTAGAGGAGGGAGTCAGGCTTTGCTTCAAGGAGGCCTCTACCTTTTCTCAGAATGGTTTCCTGAATGTGTCAATGTGAAAGTAAAATAAAATGTGTGTGCCAAACCTGACATGAGCTGCGGTTCTGGGAAGGGCGCCTGTGGCCACACGTGCCCCAGCCAGGGGGGGTAGGCAGGTGTGCGTGCGTGCACGGCTGCTTAGGGCAGGCAGACCACAGGAGGCCCAGCTTTCAGCCGCCATGGACGCACAGTGCCGAGGACACCATGCTGGGTTATTTTTCTACAATATTTAGCAAAGTCTTGTTACAGTTTCAGATCAAATGAGCTGATTGATGACCTCTTTGCTGTTTGGAATCTAACTGGATCTGTATATGAATGGAAGGCCTTAAAGCTAGTCTTAATTAAAATAGTGTTTTCCCTCACAAACAAAAGGTTGGCCCCTGGCATGGTTTCTTCCTCCCCTTTGGCATTTGGGTCATTTTCCTAACATATTTTGCCACATAAGTAGAGATTGCTACCATAGTATCTCCTAGACATATCACTGTCCAGAGCAAGGATGCCCTTGAGCACAGCGGCCCACCCTGTTCATTTCTGCACAGCCAGCACCCCCACTCCCCTGCCCCCCGACTTCCTTCCGAGGCTCCAGATCCACTTCCTCCCTCCTCAGCTTACAGCAGGTGGTGCACCTCCTTCTGCCCCCTGAGGCATCACCACATGGAGGGGTCTGCTGCCCTGTCTGGGCGTCCCTCAGGACTGGGCTGGATGGTGGCACCGCTCATTCCCAGGCAGTGACACCAGGACGGGGGCGGCTGGAGCAGGCAGGCCTAGGGGGACCTCTGCACTAATAGCCTGGGTTTGAGAGAAACATAAACAGCGACCCTGCCTCCAAAAAGTGGTGTTAGGGCCCAGAGTGCAGTTCCTAAATTAGGAAGTTTAGTAATACGAGGTTGACTTAACGGGCTTATGTCTTAGACCACTTCTCTCCTACTGGATTTCACTCCCAGCAAGTGTCAGGTTTATTGGTCTTGTGTTGAGAACCACTACAGAGAAACGCCCAGAGCTGAGATGAAATTTGATGTTCACAGTGGCTGGGTGCACATGAAGATGTGTGCTCACGGCCTACAGGGGACCCAGGTGGCCTCTGCCCTGGGTTCCTGGAAAGAAGAGCCTCTGACCCGGCGGTGGAGGGGTCCTCGCTTTCATCCCCCAACTTTCTCACTCTAAACCCTGGCTTGGTTTGCTCAACTGGAATCTCCAGAAGCAGGGAACAAAAAGGAAAAAATCAAGACAGCAGCTAAATGTGAGGCGAAGGCAGCCTGTTGGACTAAACTCAAATTATGCAGCATAGTTTCCCAAGCCCCTCAGACATGCGGAGACCCTCAGCAGGATGGTGCAGTTCCAGGGCTGAGCAGAACTGCAGGCTCACGAGAGATGAGAGGCCTGGGAAGTGCCAGGACAAGGCTGCACCTGTCCAGCTTGAGTCAGGCGGCTTCAGGCAGGTGAGGTAGCCACACTGGGGAGCATTACAGAAGGGTTGGCCAGAGGAGAGGACACCCAGGGGGATGGAAGCTACATTCAAGGCATGGTGGGTTGGCTGTGATTAATGTGGGTGCCCAGACAGGAAGGCTTCCAGGGGTGTGCTCCTGTCCTCCGGGAGGAGGGGCAAGCACAAGGCAACCAACAGCTGTGATGATTGGGGTGATGGGGGGTGTCCCCAAGGCTGACGGAGGAGCATGCATCAGTACAGACTCACACCCCCACAGCAAGTAGTTGGCCCCTGGAGGGGAAGGGCAAGTAGCTTGATGTGACCAGGAATGGCTGTGCTCTGCAAGTTTGGGTGTCATTGGAGTAATAGGGGCTCTGGAGGATTTATTTTTTCTTTTTACTAAATAAATTTAAAAATATATGTCGGCCAGGTGCGGTGGCTTACGCCTGTAATCCCAGCACTTTGGGAGGCCGAGGTGGGCAGATCACCTGAGGTTGGGAGTTCAAGACCATCCTGACCAACATGGAGAAACTCCGTCTCTACTAAAAATACGAAATTAGCTGGGCGTGGTGGCACATGCCTGTAATCCCAGCTACTGGGGAGGCTGAGGGAGGAGAATCGCTTGAACCCAGGAGGCGGAGGTTGCGATAAGCCAAGATCTCGCCATTGCGCTCCAGCCTGGGCAACAAAAGTGAAACTCGTTCTCAAAAATATGTGTGTGTGTCACAGTGATCACTGAACTCCAAGTAGCTCTCAGCTTCAACCGCTTGTTTTTTTAGATACTTGTTTTGGTTTTGGAGACGGAGTCTCGCCTGTCACCCAGGCTGGAGTGCAGTGGTGCGATCTCGGCTCACTGCAACCTCTGCCTTCTGGGTTCAAACGATTCTCATGCCTCAGCCTCCTGAGTAGCTGGGATTACAGGCACGTGCCACTATGCCTGGCTAATTTTTGTATTTTTAGTAGAGACAGGGTTTCACCATGTTGGTCAGGCTGGTCTCAAACTCCTGAGCTCAGGTGATCCACCTGCCTGGGCCTCCCAAAGTGCTGGGATTACAGGCATGAGCCGCCACACCCGGCCCAACAGTTTTTATATAACAAGTTCCCTTTCTCACTTCATCTGCCCCTTGCCCCACTCACTTACCATGACTTGTATGGTGCACACACCTGAGAAGCTCAGACTTCCACTCCACTCTCATTTACTGTGGGCAGATGACCTTGTCCCCGATAGAGGGAACAGGTGCCATCAGATGAGCACTTCTCCCACATCCTGGCTCCACACCTGCAAACACCTGCATCCACACATCCTCTCCCCTTTCCCCGTGTTCTAGTACAGTGGGCGGGGCTTGCCTCCCACCTCACTCCGCACCTCCCCACATCGGTTCCAAATTACCCTCCTGCTCTAGTGCCAGCTCCTGTGTCTGCATCCCTTCTCCCCACCAGGCTCTTTCCCAGTGGCATTTAAGCACGTTCAGGGCTCTCGAATCCTAAGACCATCCTGCCTTAGCTCTTTCCCCATCCCACATGGGGCCCTGCCTTACCTGTCGCCCCTATCTTGAATCTGGCAATTTTCAGGGCTGTCAGTCTATTTTCCAGATTCCTTTCTTCTGTGCATCCTTTAATTTCTATTGCTTCCGAGTATTCTTAGCTTAGTTCTTTTCTGTCGTTGCTCTCTGGGCAAAGAGGCCTCCCTACAGATCTTCAGTTACCGTCTACATGGAAATAAGCCCCATGGGGACCCAAGCACTTTTGTGTGTTTTGTCCACTATAGCAGCACAACTGTCTAAAACAGTGCTTGGCACAAGGTTCTCAAAGAAGACTTTTCGAATGCTGATTTAGACCCAAGTTGGTACCTTCTGTCTGCATGTCTTTTTTGAGCTTCTGACTCTTATACCACCTGCTTACTAGGTATTTCCTCCTGGTTGCCCCACACTCATTTCAAACTTATTAATTCCCGAGCAGAACGTTCATCTTCCCCTTCAAACCTGTTGGTTTTTATGTGGCCATGATTTCAGACAACAGTGACACAAACCATCCAGGTGTCTGAACAAGAAATCTGGGTCAGAATCTTGGACTCCTCCTTCTTACTCACTCCTCACATCCAATCAGTCACCGCATCCTGTAGATTCACCTATCTACATACAGGTTTCAGGTTCCTGGCCACTTCTTTCCATCCCTATTGCCACCTCTCCAGTATGGGCCACTAGATGTCTCACGCGGGCCACGCCCACAAACACAGACGCCTGCCCTGCTGCTCCCCCTGCCTCCGCCTCTGATTTTAGCCACCTGCAATCATGTCTTTTTTTTTTTTTTTCGAGACGGAGTTTTGGTCTTGTTGCCCAGGTTGAAGTGCAATGGCACGATCTTGGCTCCCTGCAACCTCTGCCTCCCAGGTTCAAGTGATTCTCCTGCCTCAGCCTCCTGAGTAGCTGGGATTACAAGCATGAGCCACCATACCCCGATAATTTTGTATTTTTAGTAGAGAAGGGGTTTCTCCATGTTGGTCAGGCTGGTCTTGAACTCCCGATCTCAGGTGATCCGCCTGCCTCATCCTCCCAAAGTGCTGGGATTACAGGCGTGAACCAGCACGCCTGGCCCCACCTGCAATCATTTCTATACCCCACAGCTAGAGTGGGTTTTGTCAAATAAAACTCTAATTGTGTTGCTCCTTACCTGAAACTGTTAAATGGCTCCCCATTGCTCTTAGAAAAAAAGTCCAATTTCTTCCACATAAAGTACAAAGTCTTTAAAGATTTAGACTCTGGTTCCTCTGATCTCATCTCTCACCATCTCCTTCACTTTCACTCCATGCCCCACCCATAAGCTTTGGCTATAGCCACCTATTCTCATTTCCATGAGTTCGCCATGGCCTCTTGTCATCTCCAGACCTTGTCACATGCTGTTCCCTGCACCTGGGATTCTCTTCCCTCCTCTTCATAGAGCTAACTGCTATTCATCCCTTAATATCCAGCTCAGAAAGCGTTTAGGAACTCTTAAGCCCAAGATGCCCTTCCTTGAGATACAATTCATCCTGGGGCAAAATTCCTCTCCGTCTGTGAAGCCATGAGACCAGATGAGTTTTGCGCTTCCAAAATATGATGGTGCAACAGGCACAGGCATCCTCATGCCGAAAGGAGGCGGCCAGAGGAAAGAAAGGGATGATGGGTCCCAAGCAGTTCCAAAACATAGTAAAGCAAATCACATTAGGGTTTATGGCTTAAGATGAGTCTTTTTTGGTTTGATGCTCTGCCCTCCAGACCCACTGGAGCAGTGGCCTCACCTTCCAGAACCACTGGGGTGGCAAAGTCACTCCCGTAGCTTGGCCTGGTGGCCCCACCTCCTATGTTGCCCATGCTAGTCTCAAACTCCTGGGCTCAAGCAAGCTTCCCACCTCAGCCTCTCAAAGTGCTGGGATTACGGGCGTGAGCCACCGCGCCCAGCCTCTGCTGTCAGCTGTGTGTTTAGTGTCAGCTGGCAGTGTTTCTGTCGGTATTATCCCATCTCTGTTCTTGGCCATCTCTGTTGAGATGGTTGGTGAGGTCCATGCTTCACACCCACACTAATCTCCTTATCAAGTGGTAGGTCAGCCATACCCTTGTTCTCTTCTGAACATGTTTTCTTATTTTTTGCAACACGGACAGACTGAGAATCTCAAAATCTTTAGGCTCTGGTTCCTTTTTGCCTAATAATTCAGTCTTCAAGTCATTTCTCTCTTCTTGCATTTTACTATAACCAGTCAGGAGAAACCAAACTGCTTCTTCAACACTACTTAGAACTTGCTTCAGCTAAGTATTTAATGTCATCACTTGCAAGTTGTACCTTCCACAAAACACTGGAACGTCAACATAAATCAGGCAAATCCTTTGCCACTGTATAACAAAAATAACCCTTTCTGCATTGTCCAATGTCACTTTCCTCACTTCTGTCTGCGACCTCACTAGAA